TTCCTCCTGAACTCAGAGTTGAGAAGAAACAGCCAGATCGTAGTCTTTGTACAGAGTCCTGTGTGTTTGTAAACTTCTGTGATTGGCCACAGCAAATTACATACAGATCAGCAGGGGGTGCGCACGCGGTAGTCAAGTGGTTAAAGAGGAGCTACAGTCTCCTATCCAGAACTGTAATAAAAGCATCATTATGATTCCTGTGACTTTCAGCATCTAATTTGGATGTTCCTAAACCTCTCCGCATAGTATGTGCCTGTTAAATCTTTTATTATACATCTCCTCCAGATATTCTGGCAGCTGCCATTGCAGATATGGGCATCTGAAGCCCCCTCCAATGCATTTCCTGGATTTCAGTGCAGCTGGCTACCCAGCTTGCACTTAGCTGTCTTGGGCATGTGCGGTAATACCATGATATTAGATGCTTAAGATGCCCAAAGACTCCTGGAATCGATGACGCTGATATCCCAGGAATCCATGGGACAGCCTGATGATGCAATCGCCTAGGCTGCCAGGACTGGAAGAAAAAAAAAAGGTACTTTCAAATAATAAAAAAATAATTATAATCACCATTTACTCACACACTGCGGGCGGGCATTGTGATGGGGATAACTTTAAAAAAAACAGGTGGAACTCCGCTTTAAGCTCTAGGGCCATGTTCCTAATTCTGCCTTTTGTACCTAGTGAGTCAACTTGAGACAGAGATGTGCGGTATGCATGGTGCACCACAACAAAAAATGGACGTGGCTTCATTGCGTTGATTGTTGGGTATAACTTAAATGTATATATCATATGTGAGCTACACAAAGGAGAAACCACTGTTTAAGTGAAGACAACACCATTTACTAGCAAATGTACAACATACAACACATAGCACATACTGTACATGTATAGCAAAACCCAACAGTGTACATGTGTGCTAATGAAACTAATTTGTAACTAAAGGCTTACTTAAGCACAACAATCCCATGGGAACAAGCAAATGAAAGTATAGCAAGCCAGGGTCAGTCAAGGGGACAGGTGAGGGAAAGAACAGGAAATGCAGGCTAGACAGGACTGAGAAGGAGCACACTGTCACAGTGCTCAGTCAAGGAGCATACAGCAAGGTGGAACTAAATAGTCTCCCAGCAGACAGCCTCAGGTGGTGGTTAATTAAACCCTTGCCGCCGACTCCTGGGTTCTGAATGACAGAAGGTGGAGACAGGCCACATGATCAGGAGCCTGTCCCAAGAGCTCCTGATCTTAACCACTTGCCTGCGGGCACTTCTACCCCCTTCCTGCCCAGGCCAATTTTCAGCTTTCAGCGCTGTCACACTTTGAATGAAAATTGCGAGGTCATGCAACACTGTACCCATATGACATTTTTAGAATTTTTTTTCACACAAATAGAGCTTTCTTTTGGTGGTATTTAATCGCCATTGGGTGTTTTATTTTGTGCGCTATAAACAAAAAAAGCAAAAAATTGAAAAAAAAGTTTTTCTATTATAAAATTTTGCAAACAGGTAATTTTTTTCCTTCACTGATGTGCGTTGATGAGGCTGCACTGATAGGCAGCACTGATGAGGTGGCACCGATAGGCGGCACTGGTGGGCACTGATAGGCAGCACTGATATACAACACTGATGAGCTGGCACTGATGAGGCGGCACTGATATGCAACAATGATGGGCATTGATAGGCGGCACTCATGGGCAGCACTGATGGGCATAATTGGTGGAACTGACTGGTGGAACTGCTGGGCACTGATGGGTGGCACTGATGGGCAGCACTGATGGGTGGCATGATGGGGGGCACAGGTGGGTGGCACTACTAGGCACTGATGGGCAGAGGTGGGTGGCACTTATGGGCACAGGTGGGTGGCACTGCTGGGCACAGGTGGGCAGCACTGGTGGGTGGCACTGCAGGGCACTGATCATCAGGGCACTGATCATCAGTGCCCTGATGATCAGTGCCGATCTGTCCTCTGACAATTGCAGATAACCGGCAACTACATTTACCGGTGATCTATTGTGTCATTGGACATGGCTAATCATGTGGTAAAAGGCGACTGTGATTGGCATTTTACCACATCACGTGATCAGCTGTGTCCGTAGGACACAGCAATCACAGAAATCACTGGGTGCGTGCCCCGGGGGGGGGGGGCATGCGGGAGGGCGCGTTCTGGGAGGACGTACTAGGACGCCCTCCCAGGACTGGACAACCATGCTGTAGCTGTCATTTGGCTATAGCGTGGTTGCCAAGTGGTTAAACAATGAATGAGAACTGTCAGTGATGGTGAGCGCGTTCTTAGCATCAACAGCGACCCAGTCAGATGTACATAAGAATACAGCCAGAATTACAGTACACTCACCATGCTGTCCTATATGTGTAATACAAAAAATATTAAAATATACCTGCGCTAAATGCAATCAGGGTAGTGAAAAATCTGCTAACATCAAAATGCAGGCAACATGTGAAACAATAACAAAAACAAAAATGTAGCGCTAATTCACACCACAATTGCACAAAATATGATGGAAAATTAATTAATCAATTAAAGTCCTCAAAGAATTTCAATAAATGTGAGGAAGTGTTGGAATAAAACCATATCTTCAAAAAAGGATGTGCCACCAACGGGAAGACAAGAGAAAGAATCCTCCATCAACAGCATTCACAGCCTCTTACCAGAACAAATGACTACAGACCATGCGGTCAAAAATAGCAAATCTGGAATGGACATATTGGATCCTTGATTTTCTCCCTCAAAAAGGCAGTTCCATCGCTATGACTCTATGTTAAAAATCCAATTTTAAGCCTCAAGGACAGTGGGATGTATATATGTGTTACATCAGTGGGAAGAGGCTAAACTCAGCTGGCCACTGGAAAACACCTGCTGGGGTGCATTAGGACTGTACCATTCCTGCTTATGAACTATAGTGTCACTAGAAGGTCATCTGGCTGTGCTGTATGTTCCTGACAGTCTATGGTTAATTAGAGTCTGAGCCTTCTTGCAGTATACTCTGCGCATATGTGCCACAGTCCTTGCACCCACAAAAAAGCTCCAGGCTCCCCCAAAAAAATTAAAAATCAGCAGCTACAAATACTGTAGCTGCTGATTTTTAATATGAGGACACTTACCTGTCCAAGGATCCAGTGATGCTTTCACCTGAGCCGAGTCTTCAACGGCTTTGGGTGCAGGAGCCAGCATCTTAATGTAAGGGAAACCTTAAGGCTTCACAGCCAGCCTCCTAGTGCACATGCGCAAAGCATGCTGCGCTTCGTGATGGTCCCGCATTCTTCTGTGACCTGTGAAGTGTCCCAGAAGGCTGGAAGGAGAGGAGGCTGAACTTCCAGCTCAGATCATCGCGGCACATCTGACCGGAAGTAGGAGTGGGTACCTGTCAAAACGCGGTACCTGCTACCCCCAAAAAAGTGCAAAAAGGGGCAGTGGAGGGGGTAGAGGATTTAAACAAGTGGAACTTCCCCTTTTAGGTAAAGTTTGCTTTAAAGTGACAATAAACAATATTCTTATTCTCCTTTTGCCTGTTTGGAATGAGCAGTGCATGTTAGATGTGGTCTTGTGCACTGTTGAACGCACACTTCAAATCCCATAGTCCATAATCCCAAGTCCATTTCAGGCGTGAGCAAGGGAAGGTGGCTGTGTTCTTACATACAGTGGGACCATGGAGAATGAACAGAGCCACCTTCTAACAGAAAGTCCGATCTCAGCAGCAGCTGAGAGCAACAGAAGGTACTTTTTTCGGGTTAAGCATACATACTTGAATATGATTTTCTTTTTTTTAACCAGACCAGCTTAGTGAAATTTTAAATATTGGGCCACAAGTGAGAGTCTCATAAACACATATAAACCTAAGCACAAATTATTATTTTTCTAAAGTGAAACTTTTTCAGTGCGTGCTTTTTCTGCAAAACGGATATAGAGTGAAAGCTAACACTTTGTCTGAGCCTAAAGCCTAGTACACATTATTAGAGCATCAGAAGAATTGTTTTTTTTTTCTGAATGTGCTCACCATGTTGAAAACAAGAATGCCATTAAAGCATTACCAAACCCAGGACCCTGCTACTTTCGTAGCTATGTTCCAGAGTAGAATCAGAAGTGATGTCATGTTTGTGTGACCCTTCTAATCATAGTAACATTAATTATGACAATATTAATGATAATAATGTTGTGTAAAATAAAAAAAATAGTATTAATATTATTATTAATAATAATAACTATTAATCAAAAACCTTTTATTTGTAGTCTAAGAGATAATCTGTATACTGGTAAACTATATACTACCATTCACTTATCACTATCACAGAAATTGCAGCTTACATCTCCTTAAAACATTTTTTTTATCTTGTATATGCTATTTCTTTTTTGTTTATGAAAATTATTTCTGTTGCCATCTTCTTCCATATGTGCTTTGTTTCTGATCATGTGCGGTCTTGTTAATTTGTTTTTCTCAATACTGTATTAAATAAACAAAAATTGTTTGTTCTGGTTACTAACAAGAACAATTTTCCAGCATGTCCCTTTGGAAATTTTCATCTGAACAGTCGACATCGACACTTGAAAGCAGTATACTAACGAACAGAAAGTCAAATGATTGTTCCAAACACAGGTATTTTTTACCTAGTTTCTAATAATGTGTACCTGGCTTAAGTTAACAAAGAACTTCATGAACATAGCTGTGGACTATGTGGCAAACAGCAATTAAGACAATAAATACCTTGGTTAGTTGTGTATAATGTGAGGGGAAGCTAACGAAGGACATTCAGGAGTATGTAAAGTACAACATAACCAAAAATGCAGTGGTCATGAGTGTGTAACATACAAAAGAGCATGTTCTGAACCCACAGGACACTAGTGACCCATTAGATTGCTAGCCCTGGAACCTGCACTTTTTAAAAATAAGTCAGTCATCATGATTTTTTTTAAACCAGTTGAACAAAGTCAAAGATATTACTTGTGGAGTCTATGACTAATTGTCATAGAGTACAAGTTTTAATAAATTCACTTCAGACCACAGTGCAGTATCTCTGCCATGTATCACTTACACTATTAATCATCAGGTGCATCAGTGTCTTTGGTATAAGATCTCTTATAGATTTGTTGATAATGGCCATATAAGAATCCACCAAGTTACGGATTGTTTCAACTTGCCGTTCCAGCTGCGGATCCATTGAAAGGTTATCAGCTTGTGACTCCTCCTCCGTATCTGTCTAAAGGGATTAATGTCAAATATGAATTTCTAAGTAATGTATATAGTTACAAATTCCTATTCATTACATTTTATTGTGTGCAGCATTCCACAATGATATTACAACAATATTCACCTGTATATGTATGTATATATATATGTATATGTATGTATATATATATATATATATATATATATACATACACACACAATTTATATAAATATAAACAATAAAGATGCCTAACAAATTATTTTTGTATACCAAATGAGTATTTATTACTGTTCCATTTGCTGTTGGCACAAGACAAAGGTTTCAAGTTTTGGTCTGACCAAATTAAAATAATACAGTTGCAAGAAAACGTATGTGAACCCATTGGAATTACGTGGAGTTTTGCATGAATTGGGCATAAAATGTGCTCTGAACGTCATCTAAGTCACAACAATAGAAGAACACAGTCTGCTGAACATAATACTACACAAACATTAGATGTTGCCATGGTTTAACCATTAGCCGCCCGGCCTATAGCCGTTTGGCGGCCGCAAAAATGGTTTAGCTTTCCAGGGTGTACGCCATTTGGCGTCCTCCCGCACATGCGCAGTTCACGCGGTTGCAGAGCCGCGCAGCGTTGAGATCTGTCACTGGCCGTGTACCTCGGACACGGCCGATGACAGATCAGAGTACCGGCCCCCGTTGCCGGTACCATGTGACCTGCTGTGACCAATCACAGCAGGTCACATGACAGTTGTATACAATGGATGGCTTCATTCATGCCAGAATCCCAGAGTTATAGATCTATGTTATATTTGCTATTTATTAAAGGTGTGATTTTAACTGCACTTTGTCTCCGTAGATGTTCCTGACATCTACACAGTTCCCCTCCCTTCTTTCTCCCAGGCTCCGGTAGATGACTTCAGCTTAATGCCCCTGTAGACGCAGTAACTACTCCCAGACAGCTTCCTGCTGCTCCAGCAACAGTATCTGTGTGTAACTGAGAATCAAGTCTCACAGCATCCTCTGTGACAGGAGCCAGAGAGCAAGTGTGGTTGCAGTGCCTCAGGCTTGTCTCCTCCATGGGTGCAGTGTGGGTCAGAGCACAATGGGCCCCATATCCCTTGGGGCCCGTGTACACTTATCACTCATGGATTATACTCCACTGGGCACTGATCACTCATTGTGTTCATTCAGGAAAGGAAGGAGCCGGTAAATATGACATACATGACTAGCCCCTTCCCCTGCTCTGCATCCAGAAACATTCCCGAAATGCCAGCAGCAACAGCGGAGGGAACCCGGCAGCACTTGGTCATCCTCTCTGCGCGGGCTCAGTGGCTGGGCACAGCATCCCAGGTGGAGGGGAGAGGGGAGGGTGGTGGGCTTTAAGGGGAAGCAATAAAATCTGGGGGGGGTGCTGACAATCAGGGGATGATCACCCCTCTGGGAACCCTCTTCTGGAACTGTCCTCTGTCTAGTCCCCTGACTCAGATCACAGCCCCCTGTCAGTGATAGGACAGTCTCTCTTGTAGCCCCCCCAGTCATCACACTCTGCTTTCTTTCAATCACCTGGCTACAGCAGTCTGCTGGCAGGTTTCTGACAAGGATCTTCCTCCTGTTCTCCAGCTCTGGATATTAGTCCTTCAGCCTCCTTTTCATCTTCCAGGGGGAGCCCATAGCTCTCCAGCCTCACGAGACAGCAGAGGAACAGCCAAATACCCAATACCTAATGCTGCCATTTTACAGTGGCTGCAGCAGGAGGCCACACCCACATTCCCACCTCTTATGCCAGTGTCCAGTGGGTGATAGTAGATAGTGACAGTTTGTGCGAGAAATGCTTAAAATTGAGGTCTCCACCGGGGCATCTTCTGCGGTGCCTGTACCCTTTGGTATGCACTCGCTGGCTAGGCCACCTAAGAATCTTTTCCGTATCTGCATGTTTTGACAATTTTGTTTACAAGTATTAGGAACAACCAAACTGTCTGTTTGTACTCCTCAAATGCTTTGGAGTGCATTGCCCTTTTGGTGAGGCTCTTCTGGTGAAATGGACCTCTCCAAAACTATAATGTAGCTAAGCGCATAGACATTCCAACCTAAAGAAATCACCCTGTAATGGACCTATGTGGCATTCACCCAGTCATCACATAAAGAAAAAAAAATACATTTGATAAAAATCTATTTTTATTACAAAAAATAATTTATCAAATATATAACAAAGTTCCAAAAATTACATCCTTCACCTTCGCAGTTATTAAAGACAACGTTGCCTTGACCAATTAAAACACAGTACGGACAATACTAACCAACTTATGCCTAGAATGGGTTCATCGTTAATACAGTATGTTTGAGAAAATATCCTTTTTAATGAAGGTAACCCAGTCCAGGCATACACTCCCACCACTGGTCAAGACAACATTGTCTTTAGTAACTGGGAAGGCGAGGGATGTGATTTGTTTTTTTAAACTTTGTTATATGCTTGGTAAATTATTTTTTGTAATAAAGATTGATTGTTTAAAAAAACTTTCCATTTCCATTTTCCCCATTTTTTTTTATTATGTGATGACTGGATGAATGATGCATAGGTCTGTTACAAGGTGGTTTCTTTAGATTGGGATGTCTATGCCTTGTACATTGTAATTTTGGGATGTTTTGACCACATGGACCACGCACCAAACGTGTAAGTTTGGTACACAGTTATTATTTTGATTAGCCTAATGCCATCTTTTTTTTTATTATTGTTGAAGTGGACCTCTCCAACTGTGGTAGATCCTCCCATCTTTAGGATCCCCAAGGACACTGTGGTCCTGGTGGAGGAATCCCCCTCCTTTATAGATCCGGCAGAGCGGAGTCTGTGGCACGTTCTGTGTTCACCATTACCATGTCAGCGTCTACGGGCCTGTGTTGGCTGCAGCCCTGGTATCCCAGACACTAACCGATTGGGAAAAGGTTTTACAATGAGCTTTGACTTCTTGACAGGTGCTCTAGATGTATGTGAGACTGGCAGACCCATTGGTCCAGGTTTTGAAATATGTTTGTGATGCATCCCCTGATGCAGCTCCACCTCTCTACAAATTCTCCATTTCAGCAGTGGTGCTTCGGTAAGTCCTTTGGCTTCAGTGTTGACTAGTCTTTAAAAAAGGCTCTGGTAGTCCTGCCTATCCAGGGCAAATGTCAATTTGAGACTACATTGGATGACAGTATCAAGAACTTTATGGGTAGCATCTTCCTCCCTCAGGCTACTTAGGGAAAGAAACCCTGGAGTCCGGGCCTGCCTTCATGGCTCATAGCTGATGTTCCGTTCACCTGTTTCCTTCGGACAAGATCTTTGAACCCTGCAAAACCTCAGTGGGCTTAGCCAAGCACCCCTGATCCTAGAAGCCTTTCAAGCCCACTTATATGTCCTCTTCATCATGTAGGGTTGTCTCCACCCATCCTTCCCGAAAAGTGGGCCCACAATCTCATAGTCTTCAGGTACAAGTTGGATTCCAGGACCTGCTCCTTCAAGGCGGTTGTCCCAGTTAGTCGGAGTGGTTCTGGGGTTTTACTCCCATCTATTTATGGTTCCTAAGGATGGGGTTTGCCCAATCCTGGACCTTATGACTTTGAATACCTTCATGTGGGTTCAAAGCAGAAGTTGGAATCTATTTGCTCTGTGGTGGTTTCTCTTGATTAGGGGATTTCTGGGTCTCCAAAGTCATCAAAGACTACACATCCCCATCTGCAAGGGACACTGGCATTTCTTATGCATTGCTATCAAGGATGCTCATTATTAGTCTGTGGTGCTCCCCCTTGGTCTGACCTTATTCTCTGGATATTTACCAAGGCATAAACTCCAGCCCTTGCCTTGCTGAAACAAAGAGGGATCACCTTGACCGGTTACCTGGATGATTTGCTCCTGCATGCGGAGACTCGCTTGGCGTGGATGGGCGGTATCGAGGTTTCCTCCCTGGCCCCTGGAGCATCTGGGCCTGATTCACTCTGGGAACACAGCACCCACCCCTCTCTTGGAGTTTTCTTCCTTTTAACACCGCTTGTGACTAACTGGCTTGACTATAGCAGAGAGGGGGTTTTATACCTAGAGGGAACTGCGCATAAGAGGTAAGAGTTTTTTTCTGCCTAGTGTCCGACTCCTCTAGGTGGCACTATACGGTGAGTAACAAAATATCCATTTTTTTCCCTGAGGCTCAAAAACGCAAATGCACACTCTTTGCTGATGACATTCTCATGATTATAATGTCTCCAATTACGACACTTCAAAATCTCTTTACACTTTTAAGTAAGTTCTCATTGATTTCAGGGTTGATGGTGAATAAATAACCTCAAGCATTAAACTTGTCTCTGCCACTAAATACAACTGAAGACAAAGTTAAAGACAAAGTCTGAACCAATCTTTTTTATAAAGCAAATTGTTGCTGCATTCCTAAGATTATGAAAAGAGATTACTAGATGGTTAACTACCCTTTCATTAATAGATATGTGCAGTGAAGAAGAATTTGCTATCAAAATTCTCTTATGCTGCCCAAATCTTTTCCATACCAATCTATAAACAGGATATAGAAACGTTTCAGAACTCATCAGTTTACTTTGAAGAAAGAAGAAGTATAGAACATTATATACACCTAGAACTCTGGGAGGACTGGGATTAAATATTTTCAGGCCTATTAACCTATTAGCACAGTTTATGCTTGACTTGAGGAAAAAGAATGTCCCTGAAACAGTCATTATGAATTTATACTCTAGCCAAGCCAGATCACTGAATTTTCAGTTGGTCTGATCCAAACGTAGACTCCTGATTCTGTACCCTTCTCTATCACATACTTTGGACTTGTGGGATAGGTCGCCTATCAAGCATGACTTGAGGTTGCAGCAATTGCATTTAACCTGATTATTTGGTAACCCATTGTTTCCTCCTTGCCTTAAGTTGGGCACAAACTGGCCGAATATTGGCAGAAAATTGTCTGTTTGTCAGGAAACGGCTAATTTTCGGCCCGTGT